TGTGTGTGTGTATGTGTGTGTAGGAGGGGAGGGACGGGGGATAGGGGCGTGGATTGGACCAGTTGTGGATAACAACTAGACCGGTCAGGGCCAGCGACGCGCTCCGCGAAGATGTGCGCCGAGTTAAGATTAAGGAGGGCAAAACAAAGTTTGTCACTGACCTCCCCGCCGCCGCCGGCCCCTCTTGTACAACCACAAAAGGTCGTCCTTCCCTTGGCGGCCCGGGGTTTGTCGTGTACGGTGCTGATTGCACTGGTTGCAAGCAGGTGCTCGCTTTCCTCGCGTAAATTCATTATTAATCCGCGAGTGCCGCGCGCCCTTTTCATTCCAAAGCGCGGCCGGTTTGTCTTTTGGCGGTTTTTGTGTACAGAGGCTTTTGTCGTGCCGCGCTGCCCGACTGGAGCCGGCCCGGGCCCGGCCCCAAGCGCCGCTGGAGAAGAAGGCGAAAGCAATTACGGGATGGGGCTCGTGGGGGCGCTGGGAAAGCAAAACGCTGGCGGGGTGGTGCCACCTGCCCGCGAGAGCGACCAACCCACTCAGAGAAACGGTAAAATAAAAAAATAATAATAAAGAAATAATAAAGCGACGACGAGCAAAGACAAAGCTTTTGCTGTGATGAGCAGCGTGGAAACTGTCAAAGGGAGAGTGTCCAGTACCTCTGCTGCCATACGAAGGACCAGAGGCGATGCGCGCTCCACTCGACGACAAGGCTTTGGGGGCCACGTGCCGCAATCACCGACCCAACAACGACGGTGCTCCGCTTTCTTGTATTGCTCTTGAAGTTACAGCCGTTATTTGCATCTGCAGTTTTTCTCAACCTGCTTAAGAAAGATTTTTTCTTAAATAAGAAAACAGGTTGACACAGAGATGTATCAACAGTATACTGTTCGCCGTTCTTTGCTAGCCTTTGTATGCATATCAACAACATATCGTCTCTTTGAGAGAATTGTAATGCAAAAATTTTGCATTCAAAGTTCTTAAAAGTATGGAGGGAGTGTCTTGAACTTGGATGTCCAGCATTTTGAATAGTTCTTGTTTCCAAGCAAAAGAGACTACTTTGTTAAGGATGGAACGGTTGATTCCTTATTAGATCCTTTCTCTTTTTTTTCTTTCGTTTTTTTTTATTAATAATTATTTATAATGTGACCGAGAGGTCTGCTCTGCTCCACGTGAGGGCTCCGGTACTCGGCCTCTTTATCCACCCGCCTCCCGCACATCTCATCCCGCGCTTGATAGCGCCGCTATCTGCTACTACTCCACAGATAAAGTTTGGTCATGTGCAGTAGCCATGTGCGTGACGGTACCGCCACACATTAGAGCGTGCGACAGAGGCGCGCGTACACAACAAAATGTATGACGCCATTTCTGTAGACATTCATTCGTTGTGCCGAACAAGATGCAGGATGCTGCTGCTGCTGCTGCGTTTCCTTTTCACTTTGATTTTTCGAGGCAGAGCATCCGGCCCCTCGTCGCCTCCAGGAGACAAACTGCAGCACAGAGCATTCCCATGCCACCCCTTTATCGTTGTCCGCCGATCGCGGGAGGGGGAGGGGGTAGGGGCGGGGGCGCAGGAAGAAAGTTGCGGTTGGCGTCTACAAATCTTTGTCTGCATCGTTTAGTCGTGTGCTGGAAGGAGAGGATTTATGCTTTTGTTCAATAACACCCCCGCCCTCTCCCCAGCGGAGTCAGTAAAGAGGTGCCTGCCCAGAGCGGGCGGACGCGAGGCGTAGCGTGCTCAAAGAAGCGCGCGTGACCGTGACGACCTACGCTACCCCTTCCATAATTAACTAATCTCCCCCCCCCCCCCTTACACACACACACACACTTTCTCTCGAGCTGAGGCTCAAGTGGGAATTTTTAGTTTACATTTCAAGAAGTTATTATAGTTGTAATTAATATTGGGGGGATACTTCTCTTGCTAAGAAATAGTGCGTAAACTTTCTAAGCTTCTTTTGCCTCTCAAAGAAATTTTTATTGGAAGGTGTGATTTTATTGCTACAAAGGAGAAGTCACTGAAAACAGTTTTAAAACTTTTCGCTCACAAGATCAAAATGAACAGAAAATGCGGTCACAGCAAATATATTTCGGGGAAGTTCCCAGGTGAATCCGGGAAGTAATTTTCCGGAGGGTATTTTTCGTCATATCTATGCATGTTATAACATTTGGAGCAACCGGAAAATGTACTTCCCGAATCCAACCGGGAAGTTCCCGGAAAAATGTTTGCTGTGGTGATTTCAATGTTGGCAGGAGTGTTTTGCCTCGCTTCTGCCTATTTTCCTCCTTGGCTACGTGGAATTTCGTGGGTAACCCGTCCTCCATGGCATCCTAATCAGGCCATGAATAGGAGTGCCCCACCAACACGACCCTTCAAACACTCCCAACCGAGGTGTGTGTGTGTGTGTGTGTGTGTGTTTGTGTGAGTGAGCACTTGTGTGTTTGTGTTGACTGAGGGAGGATGACCAGCGAAGGAGTGTGAGGGTAGCCTAGGCGGCCAACGCCCCTCCGACCGACGGCGACGAGGGTGTTGGAAAATAATTTGTAGGCGCGACGTCGGCGCGTCGTCGGTGAGCCGGCGTCCGCGTGGCGTTAGTTGAGTGATGTCTGGTTTTGCGTAATCTTTGGGTGCGTGGGTGACGAAATGTATTGAATTATTTTGCGGGGATTTGCGCTCCTGATTATGTCTGCAGTGTCATTCGCCGAGAGAGAGAGAGAGAGAGAGAGAGAGAGAGAGAGAGAGAGAGAGAGAGAGAGACTGAGACTAACTGAGTCTCGTATATCCCTG